TTAAAATTCAAATGAAATGATTATTCTGGCATTAAAATGCTTATTCTTTTGCTTCTTTTGATTTTATATTACACACAAAATTAATTGAAATAAATAACATTGATATACTAAGCATCATAAATAGTGACATAAAAATAAGAGTGCTTTTGAAAGTGAAAAAAATAACTTATGAAAAGAATATTATGATTTTTGAATGTTAGTAAAATATTCTTTGAATTTATAACTAATTTCATAACTGAAATAAAAAGGCTATAATAGTGTCATTCTTTTCTACGATAATCATAAACGTATACTATATACATCTAATAAATGCTTTATACGGGTGAGGGTGTGTGGTGGGATGTGAGAGTGTGGGTGTGGGTGTTCTTCTCTTTATCCACATCCACATCCCACACCCCTCCAAACTCGACTCAAGGTTTTGAAAAATTGGTTGTACTAGCAAGAAACTTGGCAACTAGTCGTATTCTAACAGTTTTCATCAAACCTGATATCATAGCTATAAGCTAATTCGATAGAACAATTTTTGCAAAATATTGTAGCATCGGATTGAAAAAGGCTACAACTAATTCATCGATCAGTTTAAAAAAATCAGTTGCTTTGTTATGTTTTTATTTATGTAGACATCTTGATTATATAGTTCTGCATGTGTCAGATACTGTAATAGTTGAAAATAAATTAAGTATAAATTAAATGATATTTGTTTACTTAGTACATCAAATGCTTGCAGAAAAAAGCTATTTATTCTCTGCATTCTAGCTACAATACTTTTCAAGATTTTGAAGACTTTATATGATGAAAATTTGAATACTATATATTCTTATATTTTTACATGGGTGTTGAAACGAAGCCAGATTGATCCTTAGATCGTAAACATATCAGACAATACAGATGCAGATTGATGCTCAGCGTAATAGTATAATTCGTATAAAATGGATGAATTAATATTAATATACTATTTTTTTTAATGATACATCGATTCCAAAACCATTTTTACGTTCATCTTCTATATTCCGTGATCTTCATTAATCTATGGATCTTTTTCTACACTATGAACAGGGGAGAAAAAAAGTTTTACTCGTATAATTACATTCATCACTCATTATGTTTTTTTTCAAAGGCGTTCAGTTGCTCCTCGTTGAATAACATGGGAATACCGAATTTTCATTTTCTATAGCTATAGATGGATTCGGAATATGTGAAAGAAAAGTTGCTGTTGCGTTCTTCTCTCGATGTTTTCTTCTTTCTCCTTGAAGATGTGATCGATGCATGTTTTTTTTTGGGTGTGGGTGTGGGTCATAGTTTTAATTCGTCTCACACCCCAGACCCACACCGACACCACACCCATGTTATGTCCAAGCCAGGAAATATCCAATTATGCCATACATACAAAAAGGAAATATCCAAATATATATGGCATAATAGTAGAATCAAAGCAAAATACCAAACAAGAGTAAAATAAATGCTCATAATGCCGACAAAAAAATTATCCATTTCAGCAACATTTACCAATATAACGTCCCGTCAAACCTATCAGCAACACAACTGCGTTGAAAGTACAGTAAATTAAATAAAACTCCTGTTCATAGTGATTATTCAGACATTCAAATATAATTATTTAAGTCAAGATTATGGTGATGTTCTTTCTTGAAAATGACTATTTAATTAGTTGAAACGTCGAAAATCACATAAATTTCTCATTATTAAAGAGCAATTCAATTACAACTCTAGATATTCTATTGAAATTCTTTGCCGATGAATGTAGCTACTTGTTAATATTCTCGACGTATTCTAATAAAGAACAGAATATACTATATTTTTACATGAATAATAGTACAATATTCGTTTCTTTGTCATATAATAACTATTATCAAGAAAAAATTTTATTTCATTTAAATAAAGTTAAAAACGATTTTTATTACACATATGTATGAGTCTGGATATCATTCTTCTTGTTTTCGGATTTTTTCAGGCTCCACATGGTTCTTTGCCTTTGCAGCCATATCCAGCTTCTCCATCACATGCATAAACAACAAATGTTTGTACTTGATATTGCCATTCATATCCACCACCATTTGCAGTAATTGCATATGTGCAACAACCATAATCACCAAAAGACATATCAACTTGTTGTGGTTTGTTCCAATTTCCTTTATCGAAAATAATTGAATTAAATTGAGCACATCGTGTACCATTGTAATACCAATTTGGTTGTGCTTTAAACTCAACTGTCACTTGATTACCAAGTGAACGAACTGGTGGTGTGTTTAATTTCAATGAAAAATGATCTGGACCATCTGGAGTTACTACAAATCCATGCATAGGATCTACATTAAAGCCTAGAAATACAATATAAGTAATGCTAAATAAGTAGTTGAAATCGATTGTTTACCTGTATTTGCATTGCCACAATAAGAGGGCCATTGATTTGGTAAATCAAATAAATGTTCTGCCTCTGGCGAAATACCATGGATAAATGTTAAATAAAACGTACTTGTATATCTATATACAAACATATGATTTATGTGTAAAAACTATCAATTTATACTTACACGTCACTGTCGTAACCACCTACGGCAGCAGCACGTGCATGAATAGTTTTAACTGGTCTATCTTCTGTTTCAAAATAGCTTAAACATGGAACTTTACCAATACCAGATCGTTTTAAATCACATATTTCCGGTGAATCATATCTCTACAACAATGAAATTCTCATAGACTTGTCCAAAATCTTATCGAAATAAGAGCACATACTATTGCATTTAGTTGAACTTCTGGTATCCATTCTTCACCCTTATTGATAAGATTTGATGGTAATGGAAACCACGGTTGAATTTTAGTATGATCTTGTTCATCAACGACATATTTTGAATCATGGAACCAGGTCCATGGAAATGGGCCTGTATCACCCATTGGATCTGTTCTGTACCAACAATTATTCTTCAAAAAAAAAAGAACATATTATTTAAAGAGAAAAACAAGAAAATTTATCTTTTACTTTGGTCAACTCTGGATAATCAGGATTGAAATTGAACAATGTATAACCCTGCGAAGCTGGCTGAGAAAAATAGCTTATGGAGTCTATTTGTTTATAATCATTTATTTTCTACTTACGGAATCTGGTTCAGCACCTTCAGGCTTGTATTTAATCATGTAAACTTCCTTTTGTTGTGCTCGCCAACCTTCAATATCAATATGAGCTCTTAAGTTTTCATAATCGTACAATAATTTTTGAACGCCCAGTGATGTATCCCATGACTGTAATCCAGTTATATTTATTGTTGCTTGAAATTGTTTCGAGAAACCTTTTTGACTGAGACATTGGTTAATACATAGAGTCAATAGTATCAACAATATTGTTCGTTTCATTTTTCAAACTTTTTGAAAATTACTCACAATATTGTGAAAAAATCATCAAAGAAAATAGCAAAAAGCAAGTCACTTTTATATACAAATACTTGCTCTGTCATCATTAACACTAATATCATGTTACAATTTCAATTATAAAATGATATTCAAATTTAGCCATGATTAAAAGAGAAAACGCGCAATTATTTTCTTCTATATGACATTTTGGGATCATGAGCATCAACAATAACAGTAGATTTAGAGGCTACAGGAGAAGAAAGTATTGATGTAATGTTCGATAAAATCGAGGAAAACATTTGTAATTATCTGTGTGCACCTCATCGACATTTTTTATATTGTCGAGTACTTCGATGAAGTTTGGAAGATGATTTATCATGTGTATTTAGTACCGTGGTCATCATCAATCCACAAGTTACTAAAAATTGACTAGAAACAACATAAGATCTATCGATTTCTTTCGTTCTTGAGTAAATGAATATAACGTTGAAGCTTTTGTTTTTTTTCTCCTAGAAACTATGCATCTTGCTTTTTGTCTTTTCTGATGCACAAGATCATTGGTGGGATAAACTCTCTGCTAATCAAGTGCACGCAGGAAAAGAGATAGATCATGAGCAACAGAAATCAAAAAGGAAATGTCATGGTAATTGAAAACCTCAACATTTCGGGCGAAAATCTCGTGCGTGTGAAATGACTGAAGAGCAAATTATTAACTTAATCAATGAAAAGAAAGAAGTACGTCCAATAAGTGATGTCAACAATATAGGGTGGGTGTGGGTGTGGGGTGTAGGTGTTGGTGTGGGTGTGGGTGTGAGTGTGGGTGTGGGTGTGGGTGTGGGTGTGGGTGTGGGGTGTAGGTGTTCTTGTGAGTGTCGCTCATTTCTTCACTCATATCGACACCCACACCCACTAGAGACCTGCGGAGTCAAACTTTTTTGACTCCGACTCCGACTCCGACTCCGAAATTTTTTTTATGAATGACTCCGACTCCGACTCCGAAAAACTCCGAAAATTTTTCTTTCCGTAAATCAGCGATAGCTCACGTGTACCGAGATATTATGTGATTTAAAATTAATTTACCATCACAGACGAAATCTGATTGGCGATTATTGTTACATAGTGCTTCACTTCTCTTCTCTTCTGTCCAACTGTTATACATATGTTGTTGTTCTTTTCTTTTTCTATTCATCTGGTGCACGTATGCTCTTTTTCGTCTTACTCACTTTTCCTAACTGACGTCTTTGTTGAGTAAGAAGAACCATTGTCTTATTCTTTCTATTATTCAT